TCCCATCTCCGAAACGTCGTTTTACGTTTTATATTTACTAGACGATGGATAATATCCAAGAAAATTTTTATTCAATTGACTCTTCACCATCGTCAATAAGTTTTAGATTTGATACTCCATCGTGTCTTGGACGTTGGATAATGTCCAGAAAATAGTTTGCCTCAACAACTCACCATCGTCACAAACTTTCAGAATTGAGCTACACCATCGTGGCTGCCGACAGCACAAAACCATAGCGTGTTTTTGCCTTCACCTTTAACACAGTGTTATAATTTGTATGGCGATACATTATAAACATACCTTATGGTGACAGAAGTGCTGTAAAAAACCTAAATATTTTAATGCGCCATCCCAGAGTGAGTTGTTTTTATACTTACTAGTTCATAGTGACGTAAAATTGGTGAAGACGAATTTATTTTTGTATTCTCTTCTTACCACTTTTAACATTATTTACTGCAGACATTTCTAATTAGCTTCAAGAACGTTGTGTTCGTATCACTTATCAGATATGAGTCTTCTCTCGAGACTTACAGAATCTTATCTCAACCTGACTGCAGCGTCACTTGCGTAATGATAATACAGCAGGAGAAGCCTCGCAGACATATTCGTTGCTATACCTCGAGGCCGGGATAGATTGAACTATTTGAAAGGGACCTCCGGCCGGGGAGCCCCATGAGAAAATTAGCGTATAAAAGAAATTTCAATTAGCTATAAATTATACAGTCGACTAAACATGTTTTTTCTAAGTCCCTCCAGGAAAATACTGGGTTAGTACTTTAACCTTTTAAAGCCCAGTGCTGCCATCTACCTAAACAGTAATTCTGTGTTTTGTAGTTGTGTACTTCGTATTATTTTCATTATTAATATCAAGTATTTCTTTAAACAGCATTTAACAGTAGATCCCTGTAATTATGAAGTGTAGCGTTTCCTTTGCTGTATGGATTGAATTCTTATCAGCAATTTCAGATTGTGACTCATAAATTGCAAATTTGTAGTATTTCGAAATAATTCAGTAATCCGTGTTCAAATAAATAATGACTGCAGTATCACAAGAAGGCTCGTCATCTTCGAAACACAGATGTAAAAGCCTTGGGAAATCTGAGAAAATAATTGAGTAAGTGAAACTGAAGGTAATGAAGAAAGCTAGCAATGAAGTGAAACCTTGTTTGTTTTTTTAAATAATGGCTACAGTTTCTTATTTACGCCCCAGAGATTCTGAGTTCAGCCTCTGGTGTACAGGTTACCAACTATAGGCTGAATGTTAGCAAAAGTATATTTATTTTCGTATAAAATGTTTTATTTGACAGCGCACTGAGGTTCACAAGCACGTTTGAATTTCAATTAACTCAGTTTCCTAGGACCGAGTCCATCAAACGCGGAATTTTATACTTAACAAAACGTCGGCTATAACCATTTGTCTACATTCGTTGTATTTTTAAACAAATGAATTCCGGTTGAATTATTAATTACATAATATCCTCTCGGACAACAAACCGTGTCAGTTGTGGGCAGAGGCCCAACGTTTCGGAGACTATCTCCGCCTCCGTCACCAGGGGAATAATCAAGAAAATAATAAAGGGAATGATCATACCTTTGATGATGGAGGCGGAGATGGTCTCCGAAACGTTGGGCTTCTGTCCAGAATTGACATGGCTTGTTGCACGAGAAGATTTTATCCAGTTTTGTAGCAGTGAAAGCGTCAAGTCTTGTATTAATTAATAAATTATTAATGCGTACGATTTAAAATAATTACAATACGTGCGTCAAAGTGATAGTCGAAATTGTGCATGAGTGACAAAGACGTTCCTACATCTTTGATATTAAAATGGTTTGCAACATGCCGGTTGGGGCCAAAAAACATTTGATTTTGGAGCGTAATCGTTATCGGTCGCCTCGTGTCCTCATTTCATTCAGAGTTCGCGTTATTATCTCATTTGACGTGAGTAGGTGCGTAATATTCTAGGAAACTGACAAGTCAGAATGCATGTACACTAGCGTTCTCAGTAACCTATAGCGTACTGGGGAGGTTAAGAGTACTATCTCACTCCTCTTATAAACGAGTTTTCTAACGCTTATTGCCAGGTCTTCATTTATTTTTGTTCAGTGTGAACAAAATTGTGATATCACGTCTGTCCATAAAAGAACTTCTGATTTAGAATAGCATTCTTGAGATTATCTACACCAAAGTGTGTTTCATGAATGTTGTTGTGAAGGTCTGTATTCTTCATAAAGAAATCCTAGAATTTGTCAAGGACGTACAAAATGGGTGCTTGTCCTAGACCAGAATTATCATAGAATCCTGCAATGTTTAGTTGCATTATATTCTTGACGAAATACAAGAACTTGTGTGTCGTTTCGAATAAATTACTGAACAACAATTTCTGTCTGTGATTAATAATATCTCTATTGTTGAATAACTTTGTCAGAATTTTATGTGAATCTGTAATAAATGTGTATAATGATCAATGGCGGATACAAAATTTTTAAGTAAAGCATTTAGAAATTATAAGTACTCCATTATGGGTTACACATTTGTTCTCCAGTTATATAGGACTTAAATAGACATGCACATATTATTTGCAGGCTGGTACCTTAATTTTGAACTCTTTTTAAAATAACATCACCAATTTGACACTACTTCTTCGAGTCTTAATTTACAGATCTGTTTCCGAAGGAAATAAGGCTGTTGGCAGCAAACAATATTCTGATGAACTGTCATCTCAGCCCTGCTGATCTGAATGAAGGGCCCGGTACTTACCCAGACAGCTATGACGCCGCTCCGGCAGTGAGGCGTCTCCACGTGCGTCTCTTGTCACCGTCCCTTATCAACTGACGTAGTAACAATACCAACCCGCTCGCTCGCCACTCCTCCTCTGTTTAAACACATTTCTGATGCATCACTTCTGTGAATCCAAAACCCTTTCCAGGATTTGACTTCTCCCTTACTGCATCAATGGAAATTCTTTTATCATTATTCATCCATCTCCATTTCCTCGCCTTTCATTTGTTTTAACCTACGTCTTATTTTGATTTTTAATTTCTAGTTATTCTCTCGTATCTTATTATAAGATTTATACCTCAGTATATGAATCTGTTAGACCAAGCATCACACAATTTTTGCCTTAATTACATTACTTCGTATTGAACCTAGATCTCTTCCCTTTTTCACATATATTTAGTCCGAGCAGTTGCTGTGCTTTTTGGTTCGATTCCTGCTTCGATATATCTCGACCCTTTCTTTCCCACTCCATTTATCTGTTTCTAGACCTAATTTCTTCCTCTTCGCATTTGCCTTCAGCTCTCTCTCTCTCTCTTTGGTGGTTCAACCGCCACTGAGACCTATGTTGTCAGAGATATAAATATATATTAAATGTTAGGGACTTCGCAAATTTCAATGTAAAACAAAGTTTTGTGCATTAATATTATACAGACTGTAATGAAATTCCACGTTTTGGTGTCTAGTATGAGAACGCCGTCAAGGTGGAGGCCCACCCTCGGACACTGCCCTGCGCCAGTTCCATCCTCAACACCCGTTTCCTTACGATCTACCTATGAATGTCCTTCTTGGACAAGTGGACATGTTCCTATGAAGTTCTGAATTCATTCTTCAGCTGCCTTGAACTGTCGTAAGATTAGTGGTAGGCTACTAGATAACTTGTATAAATCCACAAAGTTCCTCGTACGTAATATCCTAAATCGTCCACTTCATCCTCTTTTGATCCGAATATTTACCTGTGTAATGCGGAAAATTTTTCCTAGACAGTACAACTGAGAAGTATTTTTGTTTTGTTTTCTTTTAGTTACATGAGGCTGTACTTGTTTAACGATTTTTATCAGCTATATATGTAAGTGGACTGATAAAGTACGAAATGAGCTGGTCTTAGACGGGATAGGCGAAGGAAGAAGTCTATGGAAAAATCTTACGAGAAGAAGAGATAGGATGGTGGGACACATTCTGAGGCACCCAGGATTGGTTAATTTCGTAATGGAAGGAACAGTTGAAGGGAAGAATTGTAGGGGGAGACAAAGGTTGGAATATGTGACGCAGATTTTTGAGGATGTGGGCTGTAGAAATACGTAGAAATGAAGAGATTGGCGCAAGATCCAAACATCCATGGCTTGAGTGGGATTCGAACCCACGGTCCCAGCGACCAAGCGGCACAAAGCCCACGCCTACGACCGCGCAGCCACTGCGGACCCCAATGGCATAAACTACACGTCAAATTTAATTATGATCCGATTATCCATTCTATTGTTTCTGTGACTGAACGCGTAGTCTGTGAGATCACCGACAGATTGCAGCATGATCTTGACTTAAAGATGCGATATGCAGATAAACAGAACTGACGTATGCTAAACGTAAGTAACATCTAAAATGGGGTGAAAATATGAATGCGATAGATTTTTCTGTCCTTTTTAAAGTATATTTATTTGATTGTATGAACGTTTGCTGTTACGAATATCTTCTTGGGAAAATAATATAATGAGAAGAAAGAAAATCAATCAGTATTTAGAGTAGGCTGTCCTCCTGTCAGAGTTAACTGAGAAAAAGAAGTCGAACAAGAAATGTATTTGTTTATTTCTTAAACGCGATGATGTCCCTCGGCAAAATGATGCCAATCCGTAATTATAGCAGATACAAATCTAAACATTGTTACAGCAATGTGGAACTTACATGAAAATTCCACTACAAAAATTGAAAATAAGAATAAGCTGTCAACTAGGATTTTCGTAACAAAAGGCCAACTACAAGGACGTTGTGTACCCCCACACGATTTAAAATATGTCAAGGGACTGCGGTTTATAATCGGAAAAGAAAGTGTAGCGGTCTGACTCTGTCTGTCGCTGAAAATCTCGTGACCGATTTGCGACAGCGCGAGATGATTAACACCTGAAAGATATGACAAGGAAATTACGAGAGGCACAGACGGGAAACCTGGACATAATTTATCTCTCGCCGCTATGAAATACTGTGTTAATTATAAATATTTGTAGATGCAAATCAATGAGGATGGAAGACGTAATTCAGGAATTAAGGAGAGAATATAATTATACGATGTGAAGTTTCGACTATTAATTTGTATAATATGGGATGAAGGCATTACTAAGCAAGCAAGACATACGGCGTATCCGCAGTAGTTCCACCACTGATCCTAAAGTAAGTAAAATTTGTCCCACTATACGCCATGTAGGCGTTTGGGGGGAGTGGAGGTATAGCTCCTCTCTTTCTTGACCTCGGCACTAGATGGGGGTGAGTGGTCAGCATCACGCCCCGGCCGGCTTTACCCCCGGGAAAGGATCCCGGTACCCATTGTAGAGGAGGCTGGGTTGGCCCCAGAGCCGGTCTGGACGCAGAGGCTAGAGGAAAAATCCTCTGCCCCCGTCGGGGATCGAACCCCGGTCGTCCAGCCCGTAGCTAGGAATATAAGATAGGTCACTGCCGTGCTCTCTCTCTCTCTCTCTCTCTCTCTCTCTCTCTGCCAGGACATACATATTTGTGCAAATGTTGGTTTTTAGAGAATTGTTCTATTGACGTCGCTGTTTATTGTTCGGCAGCTGTGCTTCTGGTAGAATATTAAATACAGCGTCGGTACATTTCTTTACTGTCAGTATTTTTTTTTCCCAATAGAATAAACGTACTTCATTATTGATAGTGATTGCATGTTTGTATTGGTAAACAAATTTCCATATTGAACATGAACCTTATATTCAGTGTTTCAGTTGTTTATAGAATTCTTGAGGGCAAATAAAAGTTTTGTCTCTGTGAAATGTTTTCATACACTGTTATGGGAAGGAACACGAAAGAGAGATTTTCAATCCATGAAAAAAAGCGATTCCTGCAAGGACGGGAAATTTGTTCTGCGTCACACTAGTTTTTCAAAACGAACCCTTCGCGATTTTACGTAAACGTACAATGGACTTTGTATTTATTTGGCTGAATATTTGTTTAATCTCATGTTTTTAAATTGTGTACAAGACGTATTTGTAAAATAAGTTTAACTCCTTTACTTTAATTTCTTTTACGTAACCGGAGCAGGATTTTTCTCTTTGTCACAACGTTCAGACTGCCTGGGGCGCAGCTTTTTAAGTCCGTAAATATTATCATTAATCTTTGTTATAATACGAGTAATGTATAACCTTCAGCTCCTACCTGTCGTCCGCACTTCTCGATTCAAGTGTATTTTGATATAGACGAATACATTTTGTTTGTAATGTACCACATGTGACGTAGTGCATAACAACGAATCAAATGTTTCGTTTTAATTGTTATTTTTATTTACTTAGTCTGACTTACTACGTATGGGACATACACAGATAATGTCAGTAATCTGATGGACTGGTAACGGAAGTATTATTTTACTGTGTAGGCTGCAAGGAATCAGAATTGGATCTGGTTTGTAACGCAGGCCTCTTGAAATGCATCCTTTGTTTTTCTACCTAATCGCTCCACAATTACTTATTTAATAAAACTACACAAACTATACGATGCATCATATATGATAGCCATCTCGAAGACGTTAAAGGTTACAAATAGCATGAGGAATGATATCAGATGTTCTTCTCTTTCCATGTTGAGAGTAAAAATGTACCAACTCCCTGTTGTTAATGCAGGTAATGAAACAAACTCAAAAGACACAAAACTTAAATTTTACTGTTTGTCGTAGTCTGCATTTAAATTGGTAATCAGTAACACGTCTTGCGCGTTCGGAGACTTAATCGATTTGATTCTCTGCCTCACGGGGTTCGTAGTAGCCTATCTCGAAATTAGATCCCTAGTTCTTGCCAGTTCACCTTATGCGGCCTTCCCCTCACATTATTCGACAGTACATAATCTCCGCATTTGATACATTTTTGTAAAGGTAAACTTAGGGATTTCAGTGAGTTGACTTAGCCCGTTTCTGCGCTTAGTTTGCCCCCGTGTATTGACCGAAAAGAGTCGATATTGCTCCGATAGAATTCATAGTATGTCGTGACACACACTGATGCTGTGTGATTCGATAATAAACTTAAGGAAACATATATTCAAATGCTGTTACTTATGTCTTGGTCATTCTGAGACTCGAGGCCTGAGGGGCATTTCTTGTAGCAGAGATGTTACTTAACACAGTCATAACGGCTACATGCGTCATTATATACGCGTTTTCTGTTACCTCAGTTAAATTTTATCGTTCGGAAGATTCGACTGGCTATAATTTCCGAATGCTGGGACAAATGACTCGCGAAATTGTGACACGATATTTCTCTAGTTTCCGTTGCGTTATTTTTGTTACAGACAAATTTTCGGTCAATAATAAGGGAACCACTGTGAATATAATTGCAGAAAACATTGGAATTTATTACACAAACATTAACAAAGAAGCAGAACATGGTAGAATTACAGACAAGATAATTCTGGAAGGGCTGGATAAAAAATGCCTTGGAATAATCATCCAGGTGTCAGATCCTGTTCAGATGGTTTTGACAGTAACTGAATTGTCAAGGAGGTCGATGGCTCGTGCCAACAGACGGATTCTGTTTCTTCCCCCAGACGCGCCATCCCCAGACATGCAAATGCAGTATTCGCGGTCTGTCGACGATGTGCTGATGATGAAGGAAATGGACTTCTTTCCTGACCTAGTGATGGCAAGATATCAGACTGGGGACAGACTCGAACTGGTGTCTCAGAGATTTACTGGCGAGACCACATATAAGGAACAAATTATTTTGGACGTTTGGACAGAACGGTTTGTATACCGCTCACATTGTGTTATGAACATGCAAGGTGGATTTGCATTTTCATTTTTCTGACAGATTTTTGTGCTTTCATCCCACAAAAATTTATTAAATGAATTATAAAGAGGAAGTTCGCATATTTAATCTATATTACAGTCATTATATTTCGATTAAGTGTAATATTTGAAGACTTGTAGTGCATTATATTTCGGCCATTTTGATTATGAAATTAGGGAATGTGATACGTGTGGGTGTGAGACATATAGAACGCATAGGAGAAATGAGAAATACATAACAAATTTTATTCAGAAATTCTGAATATAAGAGACCTCTTGGGAGTCGTAGACAGAGATGGGTTAATATTAGAATTGGTCTCAAAGAAATGGGACGTGGGTTGAATTTCTTGAACAGCTGAACGACTACAATCTTCTCAAGAAGGACTGCTCCATTCCGTCATTGAATTAGATCAAATTAAGGATGATATGTGTAAGACATTTAGGTCTCTTGGGAAAGGTGAGAAATGCACACAAAATTTTAATCTTCAGAAAACCTGAAAAGAGAGAGCAGTTGGGGACCAAGGGTTAATTGTAGAATAATCCTAAAATGGTTCTTTAACAAATCAGGCTTGACATGGTTGTATGTATGGATTCAAGTGAATCAGCATAGGTTCCAGTGGCGTGCTGTAGTGAACATGATAACAAATGTTCTGGTTCATAAAATACGGGAAACGTCTTCACTATCTGATCGACGTCCCAAAGATGAAGTGGATCGTGGATTCGGTGTAACCATCAGTGTCACTGACGTCGATTCCTAGTGAACCACATTTATACTTTTTGCAACCTCTTCCTGTTTACACCCACTCTAAGTTCACGTTAACGGAAGTGCAATGATTGTGTTTCAGGGGGCAGAGCAGTCGCTATAGATTCCTGTACCGTGCGGATCTTTACGCAGACAAGGTATCGAATCTGATGGGAAAACGCCTGATAATGGCAACCTTCACCTATCGTCCGTACAGCATCACTGACTTTGACGCCAACCCTCCGGTCTTCGACGGTACTGAAAATCGCATAGCGCTGGAGTTCTGCAAAAAACTAAACGCCACGTTCGACGTCAGCGTCGATGCTGAGAACGAATGGGGAGAGATTTACGAAAACTACACTGGAAATGGAATATTGGGGTAAGTCCTGCAGACTTCGAACATAGTAATTTGTTTGCTAATTACACATTTGCCTGTATGTAGGAAGCATTTATGACCTGTTTCTCTTCTTTCAATAAACGAATGTAAGCAGACCAGTCACCGTGCTGGTTTTTGTGTGTGCACGCGTGATTCTTGCAGCTTTTGAATCTACCGATCAGTTTTCTCCGAATCTGTTATGGACGTTATGCCATTGAAGTTCATTCCGATCTTACGCTTTCTTCCTTCTACAATCAGTAATAACAACATGGGAAGTTGGAATCGGAGTGACTTTAACGTAACTTAATTTATTTCCCTGAAATTCTGTGAAAAATATACAAATTTCTTTGTGCAGAAAGAGAATAGCAATGTGACGACCGATAACAAGTGCAATAACACTAAAATGTACCACCATAGAAGAGTAAGCTAACAGAGCTGGTATTCGATGTGGAAGTCGCCCTCCTCTTTGCGAAAATTAATGAAACCACTGGACCATGATGATATGAAGATAAATTATAAACATGACTTCTGAGCATGAAGTCTTGAATGTTCACGTATGACGTACATTTCAGAACCGTTGTGGAGGACAGGGCGGATGCCGGATACGGTGCCATCTATCTGTGGAGCAACGAGTATCAGTACGTGGACTATTCCTTCCCGTACATCCGAACAGGCATCACTTGCGTTGCGCCAAGACCTGACCCGTTAGCCGGCTGGCTGACCCCTGTGCTACCCTTCACTCTCACCTCCTGGGTTGCGGTCAGTGTCTCGGTGGTCGCGTCCACGTTGTCTCTCTTTCTCGTTACGAAAGCCACGGAGAGGTTTCCAAGTAAGTAAACAGCCAGCCCCTCCCACAGACCGGTTTTTAGGTCTAGGAAATCGTCGGTTTTGCCCTCGTTTTTCTCTGTTTTCGCTTTCGAATTTCCGTCGCTTCCACCTGTGTGGTTACTGGTGTATTTCATGTACGACTGTTTGTTTCCTCAGATCTTTGGGTTTCTGTAATTTTAGAGCATCTGTCCTATTTATGCGTAACATTTGAGTATTGTGATTTAAATTAATGACATAATTACTGCGTTCGATGATATCCAATTACTTGCTTCAGCCCTGAATGTGGAGGCTGTATGTTCCTCCGAAGCGTTAAGTCCATACGACATTTCTGCACCTAAGACCAACAATAACAGTTTCATCGCCGTGAGAACTTTGAATCTCAGAAGAATTTATGTAATACCGTATTTCCCCGATTTTAAGACATCAAATGTAAGACGTTCCCCGATTTCAGAAATTTTAAAATGTGAAAAAATAGCGCGTCCTAAAATCGAGGAAATACGGTGTCCAGAATTATGTACTTCAGAGAGACATGAGAAGATGTGATCACGGCATATTTTAAGCTACGTATTTCTTCTTCTCCTTCTTCTTCTTCCATTTCTTGGCCGTTTCTTCGGTCTTCCGCTGCCTAATATTTTCTTCCATTCTTATCTATTTTCCCATCCTTCCGGAGGTAGTTTCCACTCTATCATGATTCTTGTAATTCCGTCGTTCCATCCTGTTCTCGGTCTTCCTCTATTCCTTCTCTCTTTTGGTTGCCATTTCATTTAAGCTACGTATTTATACCAATAAAACTCTGGAGGTACCGAGGAAGCCCACCGACTGGAATCGAAACGTGCGCTGAAATGATCCTGCTTTGCAGGTTCAGACACGAACGTGCAGTCGGGTTCAGGGAGGTACACGTCAATCTGGGACTGTGCCTTCAACGCCTTGGGGCTCCTCGTGCTGCAGACGCCTCCCGATGAACGCAGATCCACGCGACTCGTCGGCCCCAACCGACACGTCCTGGTGTGGCTGACCGTCATGTTCTTACTCATAACAACGAGCTACAGCAGTGGCCTGGCTTCAGTCCTCACCATACCCAGGTACGTTTTCACCTTTCAGGGATGTGCTGCAGGGGGCTCCGAGGGGCTTGCGCGAAAACCCCGTTTTTTTATGATTATCCGAGTCCTTTCTTATCGGCACAGACAACCTCAAATCAGAACAACCGATTCAGTAGTATAAAAACATCGGTAGACGTACATCCATTTATCCGTTCGTACTTCCAAATGCAGAAAAGAAAAAAATGTAGTTTGCTGGTTTGCTGCTGCGTAACCCATGTTAAAAAATTGACAACTCACTGCTGGCGACTACTCCACTTGGTCAATAGAACCTGATAATCAATCAGCTGATTAAGAAATGCTCTTGTTTTATAACCCGATGGTTCATCATCGAAAATACGTTTAAGGAATAGTGTAGTAGACAGATTAAAACGACATTCACGAGGAAGAAAATACAAGATTAAATTCGAAAATATTTCCTACCATTCTGTTCAGAACATTTTATTTTCCCATGTCCCATCTAAAATGCACCCATTAAAATACACATAAATATAACGTTACTTGTTTATAATCTGGTCTCCTACCAAAATCAAAGAACATAGATTGAGGGTGAGATTCCAGCTTCTGACGGACGCGAGTACGAAGATGGCTGTCTTCAAGTTGCTAGACCTAGGCGTAAATGGAAGGATATAAACTGGATCTTAAAGATCAAGGTCTTGAAGGTTTGTACTAGACTTGGATGAGTTTGGCTACGTCAATATTGAACTCTTGTCAACACTCAAAAGAACATTCAGATCCAAAAAGGCTGTGAATTTCATGACCAGCTGAACGACTATGAACTTGTCGAGAAGGAATTTGTTTCACCGAGTCAGCATTTTCCGACCCACTGATCTGAGTTACGGAACGATATTTTATGAACGGACAAATTGTCGTATGTTTCAAAATAACTGTTTTTCCTGCAGATTTCTTGCAACTTTACTTTTTGGTGTTTCCAGAATGGGTTACAAGAGATGCGTACAAACAAAATGACGAAGAAGAAGGGTGTAATTAGCACATCTTCTCAGCTTCTTTCTTTGTCTCTGTTCCATAGGTTTGGGCCTCCGATTGAAACAGTGGCTGACCTGGCCGCTAGCGATGTGCCTTGGGCTGCTACTCATCCTGCCTGGATTTTTTCTATGCGCGAGAGCCGTGACCCACTGACTCTACGCGTCATTTCCCAGTTCCGTGTCATGAAGAACGAGGAATTAAAGAAGCGCTCTTTCAAGGGAGATATCGCCTTCTCCATCGAGCGCCTTCCGGCTGGTGCGTGCACATTTACACGTTGTGAAATATCAGGTTTACGCGGCGGTGAGGATGATGCTTTTCTTCTTCTGGGTTTTGACGCACTGTTAACTTGTCTGTGACTGACCCATTCCCTCAGCCTTCCCTTCCTTAACACTAAATGAATCCCTCCATTTGTCAGCATCCTCTTCAGCCCTGAAGATGGAGCCAATTTGTTTCTACCTATAAGTGCACACTTGAAAATGCACCAAAATCCAGAAGGACATGTGCAGGTCAAAACATTGTTTTGCTATCGAATTGATCAGTATGTAAGTATTTATATATTTCTCTTTTTATCCTATAGGTTAGCTTCCATTACATTTCTTAAAACTATTAGTTGTTCTGTTATCTTTAAGTGTTACCAAAGCTCCGGAATATCACACCAACTCATCGAAGACTGGTGCAGTCAACAACATTACGCGGCCATAAACCACTACGTCGCTTCCACTAAACACAATTCTCAGCAAGTAAAAACAGCGGTATAGTACATGAAACATTGGCAAGCTTTTCGACATGGAAAATAATAATTAAATTTAGAGACCATGCGTTAAACCTGGAAGACTATCACAAAACAACGGACGCACTAAAGCACTTTGAAACTACGTAGAATTTTGGTTTCTCGCGGCGACGATTAAGAAGATGGCTGTCTCCTGGGATGCAACACCGCGTAGTCTGATAGACGTTTACCAACGTTTCAGAGGTCATTGCTCCATCCTCTGAAACATACGTAAAATCATACCAGACTGCACGGAGCTACAGCCAAGAAACAGCCATCTTCTCTATGACACCCAGTTTCTACTAACTAATTCGCAGAAAGTGCAAAGTGCTCGCTCTTGCGTCATGCTGACTGGCTGAGGGCTCGATTCCTGGTAGACGATTCCGACCACCCTAGTTCCCAGTAGATGCTAGGAGTAGCACGAACAGAGCCTTAGACAAAATGTTGTTCTAGGTCACTATGCCGTCGGAGATTACATCACGGAAGAAGCAGCAGCAACGAAGCTTCGACTTATGAAGCAGGACCTGTACTTCGAATATGTTCCCACGGTCGTTCGCAAGGGATCGCCGTACTTGGCGAAGCTCAACAAACTTATACACAGCCTTCTAGACTCTGGACTTATGCTCAAGTGGGAAGAACAGGTTGGATACGGGATTATAAGCTTTTACAACTGTACGAATGTAGATGGTGGCCTTCCGGGTCCTTGCGCCGTCTAGCATTTTTGCCGTGTGATTTAAGCCTTAGAAATGGAGGCACTGTTTTCTTCCGAACTGCTACAAGGCGCAAGAAACTTGGACAGATTCGATATAGAAATACCGGCCACGAAATGTCGTAGCTCGTCGCTATTTTTCAGATTGTCTTTTCGCGTTGTCGTAAGTAACTCGTGGCTGCGGTGACGGGAGGGACGTTAGAACTGCCAGAGATTACATATTTGAAGCGGGAGGTAACTGGATCGATTCTCTGTGTGTTTACAGACACTTTTGATTGGTACGTGGCTTATACAAGAAATGCATACAGAATTCTGGTGGAAAATGAATTCGAAAACAGTCGCTTGGGATAATGAGAATGTGTAACAAATCACAGAAACCCTTAATCATTTAGTTAAGTCACTCGTTTAATGTTTACATTCTGAATTGTTTC